TCGAAATTTGTACATATTTTGTCATAATTCAATGGGAAAACAGTGGCAGTGGGATACTCATGGCTGTTGCAATAGAAATATGACTCATGTTTGTTGTCTTGTGTTGAAAGACTATTCTTTGTGCCTACATCTCTCAGGTTGTGAGAGGCTTTCCTATCTTGGTTAAGTTCTAAGGATGTGAACTTGTATTTTTGGAAATAAAGGAAATGGCTCTTCCTACTTAACTTGCATTTTTGGAAACTCTATTAGTTATAGGGAATTTTTTTTTTCTTCTTCTTTTCAATGTCGAAGTAACAGCCTAACAAACATGTAGTTGGAAAAATATCATTTTAAGTTGAAAGACATTTCAGATTCTTAATTGTGATTTATTATTTGTCATGGTTATGAGCTTGGCAATGAAATTAATAACTTTGATGGCCTTTTTGGATCACTAACTGTTTTGCTAAATTACTTGTAATTCATTCTTGAGTTACTCCTAAGAATTCTTGACACTACTATGTTCATATACTTAAAACCATGAGTCCTAATCCCTAAAAATTTTAATCACCAGTTATTTATGGGTCACAAAAGAATATTTGTAATATACATTTCAGATTCCTAGTTTCTTGGTTTATCCCTAATGCCTAAACTTAGTTTCCTAGTCTAGTGTTTTTTTTTTTTTTTCAACATCAAGGTGGATTTTAAGTGGATTTTTTAGCCACTTTAGATTGTAAGTATAGAAGTTTTTTTTCAAGTTGTTTTTCGCCAAATACGATTATGAGCTTGCCAATGAAATTAACAACTTTCACTGCCAGCAGCTTTTTTATTTTTTTCTTAGGATTTTAGCAAATCAATTTTGTTCTCTCTTGACTTTGTGTTTCATTTTTTTCTTTTTTTTTTTGTAATTCAATTTTGTTCTCTTTTGATTTTGTAATTCATTATTAAACACATGGTGAACAATGTATGGAAGCCAAAACATCTCAATCTCTTAGTCAAACATATTTGCAAACACATAATGGACAAATCATCTCATAAAAAAAACAACACAACATCAACAAAATAAGCCCATGAATGTATAATAACGTTAAATAGAAGTAGGCATAAGACATGAACACAAACAGAGAGAGAGACAGAGAAGATAAGCATACCGGTTATTTTGTTTGCTACAGATGCAGATAGTACCAACATCAGCAGCAGAAGGTACATATATAATCCTACGCACTCGACTAGCTAATGCAAACCACATGTAAGACAATCGGTGATTTGCAGAATGGAAAATTGGAACCACATAATTTCTGAATACCAATTTATTGCTCAGAATGACTCACTTACTTGATTCTGCATCTTGGGAAAGCAAGAGACAACAAAAACAAACCGACTATGAACTGATAAGAAAAAACATCAAGGCCCAAAACCAGTAGGACAAACATATATGGGAGGAAAAAAACAAACCAAACCGATTCATAAAAACATCCACAATCAAGGCAGGGCAAATGAGGCAACCTGCTAGCTCTTATTCTTTTATATATAGGTTATAGATTAAAAACTCCAACAACTCTCATCCCTTTTTATTTGTGCATTTATTTCATGTGAGAGTGAGACAGATTATAATAAATATATATTATTACTAAGATGGGGAGATAACGTATAGTATTTTGCTTCAGTATATTTTCTTAAAAATTAATCCTCTTATATGACATTTCTTCTGATTTTTTCTATTTCCATTGTTATTGTGATTAATTTGATTTTGACTTATTGTGGTGGCCATCATTATTTTTTAGGCCATAGCTTCTCTTCAGTCCAAATCGGATTAGAGGATGTTGTTGGGTCTCCATGGGCCTACCACAGGCCCGTATCGATGATCCGAACTATTCAATGTGTAAGTCTCATTGAGTATCCCTGCAAAAAATAATGTTGATCGGATATCATTGTCACTTAATCAGTTCACATTTATGTTAACAGTAAGTATGATTTTTAAAATAAATTATTTATACAAATATGATTTAATTAAGTGGCTATCGATATCTGACAAACATGATTTTTTACAGTGATGAAATATTTGACGAGTCCTACATATTAAACGGTTCAGATTATTGATGTTGGCTCCGTGGTGGGCTCACGGAGGCCCAACAACACCCTCCAGATACCCAACTAGAGAGGAGCCTCTGCCTATTTTTTTGTTGTTGGAGAAAATTTATCATCAAATGTGTTTGTTATTTGTTGAGAGGCAGGTGGGGTTTGAATTTGTAATTTTTGATAAGTTTTGCACATGAATTGAAATTCTGTTATTTTCTATGGATAATTAATACGCACATGATTTGACAACCCCATAAAAAGCATATATGTTGCCATTTGTTGCTCTATGGCATTGTATAGATTAGGTATAGGACATAAGTATGTTTCATATGACGCTATGCCCACAAAAGTTAATTTTTATGCTTGCATATTTTTAGATACAATTAATTAATATAGAAATACGTGCATGTTTTTAGATACAGATATAGGAAAAATTATAGGATATTTCTGAAGTATCACATATCTGTATTTTCTAATCAGTTATTATTTATCATGTCCTTTCATATTTCTCAAACACTCAACACAATATCTCACTTGTGCGAACATATCACCCAACACAATACCTCACCTGTGAGAACATATTTTTAAGATTGTCCACACGACTAAATTGGTTAGCCGAGGTGCCACGTAGATGAACCAAGTCGCCGAGATATAATGCGATCTTATCGAAATCCGAGATGTTTGGATAAGGGACAAGAGTCCTAGATGGTTTTAGGCTTTTTGTTTAGATAGAGATGAGATTCTGAGAGTTCATTCTAATATGAACTAGAGGAGTCCAAAATAGGTGTTATTCTTGCCAGAGATAAAATTCTATGAAGTGAGACTTCTAAGGAATAAGGGCACTACTTGCTATAAAGGTAAGGGACTCAGTGGATCTATAAGATTCTTTGATTGAGAATTGTTTACTTGTGCCGATATCTTTGAGAGATAAGTTGACTGATTTGATTGTTCCCAGGTGGACGAGCCATCCTGATTTGTTGTCTTCTTGTGGACAGTTAAGTTTCTTGGATCTTAGCTAGAAAATCTAGTTATTTGGTAGTGAGATTAAAAATCAACACTCACACCACCTACCCACATTCTTCACGAATCATAATATTATAGAGTATCACGTATCCATATTCCGGAACTTCTAATATAGATGCATCTTATATATTTACATATATTAGCTAGTTGAATTCAGTCTAGAACATTAGCTGCATACATACACTTTAGCATGACAAATTAATCTAAAAAAATGTTTGCATTCAAATGGAAAAGTGATAAATGAATTAAACATAATTGAATTTTTTTGCATGCACTAATTTAGATTTGGCCTAATAAGAAAATATCAAAAACTCTATGCAATTCCACTGCTCAATCTTTCTTCACTTAACTACTTGTTAAAAGATATTTTATAGAATACATCTCAAACATTTTACACGCATGTAGAACATGAGCCATTCATATATTTAGACAATTTTACACTGTTTGATCTAGAATCTTAAAGTGACTTTAACATAGTTTGCTAAGTTTTGTACTATAAATTTGTCCAATAAATTTCTTGAAGAGAAAATAACAGTTAACTTATTTTACTAATTATATAAATAAAAAAAATCCATAAAATACATAATATTTTTGTTAAAATTAATGTATAGTAAATAAATCATATTTATTTAAAAATTCAAATACAATCTGTACATAGCATAGGTGGAAAATTAGCTGAAGGTATACTTTTCATAGTATTTATATGCCGCGTGGAAAATTGTAATATTTATAATGAAGTTTGACAATTCACGTATGTGTGCGGAAAATTGCAATCTTTATAATAAAGTTCGACGATTGACTTGCATGTTTGTGGTATGTGTATTTGTGTTGTGTGGTTACTTTTTCTGTCGTAATTGATAATTCCTTTGGAAAATTCCAACTTTTTAAGGAGGCCTAAACATTATATTTTAAATTTAACTTTTATTAAATAATAAAATTTTAAAAATCTCTTTCCATTCTCATTTTAAAATATATTTATAATTACTTTATAAGGAATAATTTTGAAAACTATTAAATTTATAGTTTTGATTTTTCAAAGTGGACATATATTTTGAAATAATAAAAAATAAAATAATAGACCAATAAAATGGGACAGATGGAGTATGTATTTATGACTTTGTGATATTTTTCATTCTAAAATTATGGAGGATATTTATTACATTGGGACACTATTTGGCATGAATTAAATAAGTGTCCTTATTTATATAAGTATATTTATTTATGTTACATCATTTTTTATTTTTCTGTATATATTTTCATAAAAAATTAAAAAAATATACTTATTTAAATTATTCCAAAACCCGTAAATATTATCCCTGAATATTATTCAAGGATTTCATTTTCATTCTCGTGCAAGCATAATATTAAAAAATAGAAAGAGTCAAACATAGTAGAGAGTTGTGGTCAATTATGACAATTACTTTTTTTTTTAGGTCTAAACCACCGGTATCTGGAAGTCCACAGGACCTTGACTGATCCGGCTCGAACCGGGTAGGACCACAAGGGCGGCAAAGCTCTCCTAACAAGTTTTTAACACAGCTGCGTTCCCAAGTCTCGAACCCGAGATCTTGGTTAAGCTAGCATAGCCCCTTACCAACTAAGCTACATGCTTGTTGGTAATTATGACAACTACGAATCTCAAAACTTCTTCTACGTCAACATTTTACATAGGGAGAGGGAAATGTTTATAAATATAAGAAGAGAAAAGTTAGGGATCATGAAATTTTTTTTATGAAAATGATCATGAAAGATTTATGATCATTGGATTACCTTGATTAGTGTATGGTGCTTTATTCTGAGTGTAATCCAAGCGTCACTAAACTTTCATGATTATTATCATGAAAGGTTTTTCATGATACCTAGCATTGCTGAACTGAAGGAAGAAATATGTATAAAACTTAGAAACGACAGAGTAAAAAAAAATGGCTTTGCAGAAAAGCTCCTCCTCCTCCTTCCTCCTCCCCCTTTGCCTCCTCTTGGCGCTGCAGTTGCTTCTATGGCTGACAAAAACATCGGCGCAATCTTATGCGAAGCCTGGTTGTCAAGAATACTGCGGAGATGTTAGAATTCCATATCCTTTTGGAATAGGTCCCAACTGTTACTTAGATGAATGGTTCTCCATAGAGTGCAAGAACTCAATCAGCAGCTACTTAGTGAATCTCGATCTTGAGGTGCTAGAAATTTCATTGAATGGAAACTACCTTCGAGTCAACAATCCAGTAATATCTCCCAACTGCCACATTAACAACAACCTCAACAACGCAAACTCAAATTTAAGCATTGACTTGAGAACTAGCCCTTTTCTCTTCTCAGAAATAAACAATATATTCATGGCCACAAGGTGAATTGCAACCAGAGAGCCATGTTAAATGATCTGGCAGGCAAGCTTATTGGCAGTTGCATGTCTACTTGCGATTCTGCTAATAATAGTGCTTGCGTGGACAGAATCTCAAGTGCGCAGTATCTGCAAGGCTACATGGTGGATTTTCGAAACCAAACATCATGCATGTATGCGTTCGTGGTAGATAAGAATAAGAATTCCACCGACTACTCCTCTGCTGTGCAAACTCATGTCCCTGCTGTTCTCAATTGGATTGTACACAATATCACACAGCTTAGATTGGCTCCCGACAACAGCTATAAAAATAGCTACTCCTGCTTTCAGAGGTCGTTGGCTAATTCTTCTATCATCTCGGAGCCTTTTTCTACTTTCTTGCTCCACGATTGTGGTGTTGTTCAAAACCTCCAGTGCGTTTGCAATTTTCCATTCTCTGGAAATCCTTACCTTTCCAATGGATGTCGAGGTACGTCTTATGCTCTCAACCCATCTAAGTAACCAACCAACCAACTAATTGGGATATTTCTATTCCTTTATTTATTTATTTAGGAGGCAATTAATCAAATCAAATCAAATGAAATGGTTAATTTTTTTGACAAGCGGTAGGTTTGAAGTCGTTCAATAGTGATAGTGGTGGTGGTGGTGATGTTGCTAGTGGTTGGGGAAGGGATGGATGAGTGATTGAATATGACCCCACTGCAGGAAAATCGACTTTTAGCAGAAACGCCGCTATAGGTACTGAAAGCGTCGCTAATTCTTTTTGTGACGTTTAGTACCAAACGCCAAAGACGCGGTCGTCGCTATAGCTTTATGGCATTTGGAAAACGTCGGTATATTAGTATAGGCAGCGTTTTTAAAAACGCCACCAAATGTCCTACCCTAACTGTACTGTGACGTCACTATGACATTTAGCGACGTTTTGAAAATGCCGTCAAAGACATTTATACATTTTAAAAATCTAACTGTTGGGATAGGGATATAGTGACGTTCAAACAACGCCGCCATAGCCTTTATTTTTATTATTTTTTATTTTTGAAGTTGTGCTAATTTTATATGGTTGAAAAAAATACCTGTCATAAACAATTATTAAGAACTAATAATTGATGTTTATTAAAATAATAAATAAACTAAGTTTGAAAACAAAATTAAAAATAAAAAACAATGCAATAAGATGTGATACATGTACAATTACAGAATATATCTAGACACAAAATATATTAGAAATCCGTGAGGATTTATTTACAAAGTCAGGCTTGAAAACTCAAGAAGAAAGCAAAGAAGACATTCACACTCCTAATGACACAATACCGATAGTAGCAAAAGCTTGGCCCGGTTCATAAACAAAATTTTCTTTCTGAACAAGGCAAACTTTGCCAATTTGTCCTCCTGCAAAAAGTCATAGCCATGACCAAATTAGAAAGGTTAATATCAATACAATAGATTGACACATTAGATTAGAATGGAAAACATTAGATTAAATTTCATTTACTAATATCAGTACAAACCAACTTCATATATATACATATTTAAGTCCAAAAACCAACTAAACAAGACAAACAAGTAAAAAAAAAATAATCAATTTAACAGAAACATATAACTCATTTAGGTGCTAACCAAAATTGAGTGGATGCATCAAGAATTCACATCCTGTTAACAAATACAAACCACTTTGATATATATATATATACATACACATTTAAAGAGGTCCACGTACTCCGTGAAATCTGAAATGTGCATCTCTATTTAGTTGAGATAGCATGTACCGACTACATAGCGCTTACAATACAGTGCTTGAGAAATTTGCATGGATCTATTTGCTGCAGCAGCAAGTGTGGCTTCATTTAACCGAAGATTGGAACTTCGGCATCACCGGTTGAACTTCTTGTGTGGTGATGCCAATGAGGTTGTTGTGGCTGATTCAAGCTGTAGTTGCACTGCTTGGTTGTTCCCTTAGCTTCCTCTTTGGATGACACTGCAGCGAGGAGATCTATTCCACCTGACTCCACCTTACTGAACATGAGGTTAGCAACAGCCCTGTCAATGGAATTCGTCTTTGATTCCATAGTTTTCGTGTCCTCCAACTCCAGAGAATAGAATTAGCCTTATGAATATCTGTCGTTGCAACAAGAACACCAACACCATTGTTCTCATGACAAAATGAAACTTCATCATTTGACATGTATAAAAATGCAAAACCCTACACGCACAGAAAGTTTGTGTGCACAAAATGCAGCGATTTGTACATTTTGTGAGACATTGGTGGATACTGTGTGCGTAAACTTTTATGCACATATCATTGCTGATGCAATTGTATTTAACATGAAGGAAAATAATAAATGATGCAGTAGAAAATTTTAAGAGAAGTAAAGATGACAACATGAGCTTCAGGAAGAGGAGAATAAAACAGGTTATCCTGATTGCCAAATTATGACTATTTTCATAGATCAAGGCATTTATGCTGTTAGTAAATGAAATTGTAGCAGAGTTTCGGAGTACATTGAATAAGAAACTCCATAGCATTAGATTAGAGAGATGTGTGTATGTTGAAATATACCAAAAAGAAAAGACAATAAAATATGATTTCCACAATTCTTTAAGAACATTAACTACACTGCAAATGTTGGCTATCGCTACACTACAGATATGCTCTCATATCATGTGAAGCTATCATGCCATCCAAAAACGTAAATGATAGATCACATTGTGCACTCTATTAGAAACTCTACCACATACTACCTAAACTAATCATGACAGGTAATAAAACACTATGAGTCTATGAGTGTCATGTTCAGCATAATCTATACTACTTATTTACCCTTAATAAGAGGAATTTTGCACATAATATCACAAAGAAAATACAAAGAATTTTAATGATGAGTACGGAATTAAATGTTTACTTCACAAATCCCAAAACCCATAAATTCATATATAAGGGCATATTTTATACTACCTTAATTGATGTCCCTGACAGATTTTTAGCATGCCTGAATCACCCCATGCTCAAACATCTTTGCATAATTCTAGAATGTCGAAAAACAAAGATAAAGTAGTTAATTAAGGTCTTGAAACTTCAACATTAAGAATGAATAGCAATACAAGGAAGTCAGTTCCTATAGCTGTTTATTGTATGAACATCACATGTTGCTGAATCCAGGACACTGAACTGGTCCACCAGCTACAGGACACACTTTCCAAACACCATCAACAGCAACCTAAAAAGAAGTAAGGAAGTTCACAGTTACATTGGAATATCACATAAAAAACTGGCAACATGCAGTTTGAAAGTGAGTCCTTAACTCATTGCTGAACATAAATGAAGAAATGATGCGGCTCAGTCGATCATGATTAGGAAAATTTTATAATATAAAGATAATTATACTTTTGCCAAGGAATTGGTTTTTCAATGTAAAGACAAATTTTCCATAATGGCCCTAAAAGAGATGGTATCAGTAGCATTCTTTGAAGGAAATAAATTCAAAATCGAACTCGTACAATGTTTGGTTGTAGCCATTCTATTCAACATAAATGAGCTCAGAATCCTTGTATTAAAAACTAAAGTTAAAGGTCCAAATTATACCTCCAGCGAATTATTTATACACCTGTGCTGATAACAACCATTTCCTTGGGTCATGGAACCCCTTACAAACCCAGTCCGTACTAATGATGAGGCCATACACCTACAAGAATGAACAAAAGTTATGCCAATGCAGAATTCAAATGTAAGAATCTGAAAAAAGTTCCATAAGCATATCTCACCTTGAGCTATGTCCTCTCACCTCACCCAACATTTTGTCAGGTGCTCGAGCACTGTTCATGTCTATGCATGATTGCATGATCCATCAGAATAAGCTACATAATAAGTGCAATAGTCAGCTAATGACGACTGCCCACCTGCGATGGCCAAGAATGGAAGTCAATATTCTATAATGGTTATTATTGTACATATTTAAACCAAACATGACTATCTAAATTTAAGTGATCACCAGCTGGAAGTGGAACATCTAAACTTAGCATAAGAAATTAGTGAACAAAAAACTTGCTAGAGTTTTGAATCTTTCCAGCAAGTCACAAGCAAAATCAACTACTGTCTGGAAGAGGACAGATGTCAGAGGGAATCCAAGCTTTAGCAAGATTCTAACATGTCATTTAATTTAGGATATATTACACTGATCTCCCAGCAAACTCCACAACTTTGAAAAAATTACAGTGACCTCCCTTTTAGAGAGGTTAAAGGGACCAGAACAAATGAAGATGGTGTGAAGACACAGAGACAAATAAGGAAAAAATATACATTTCATTGTAAAAGATATGACATCATCATTTTTCCATCTACGTGACTAACAAATTTCTTATGAAAATGAGGCTCAGTGTTATGTGAATTAAAACCTTAAGAGAGACCAATGTGATTATGCTAAACTAACATGTGTGTTTGATGTATAGCCAAAATTGCTTTCACAGAATACTCATAATAGCAAGAATTCAAAAATGTATGCTCACCAGGCAAATTTTGAAATCTATGGAGTGGAAAATCAGAGAAAAACCATCATGTCAACATATTTTCCAGCGATGGTTCTGGTTGCTACCAGCCCAGTTGCCAAAGCAGCACCGAATAAAGCATGCAATCTCACACAATAATACTTTGCCATAAAGATCTTCATTTTGTCGTATAAGAATGAAGTCTCAATACCACAATAGAGAACTAATCCAATTCAGCTATAAAAAGAGTAACAACTAATCCAATCCAATTCAGCCGACAAATTTAAGGATTGATTTAGAAGTTTAGAAACTGTTGGAAATATTTTTGAAGCCACAAAACTTTATGTTCTTTTAATCTAAAAGTTTTGTCCCTAATGGAGAAAGACACTACAATGTCTATATAAGACATTGGAGTTCTTTAGTTTTGAATAATTTATTTTGTTTTCCCTCTATTGTTTTTCTTTGATTATATTCATATATTTATAGGCAACTTCGATGATAGACAATTCATTGACCTTTCAGTGATTTGTGTTGTATCTTGAAGTTGTCATTGTCTGCTAATACCTTATCATGGGGAGGCAATAACAACTTTAGGAAAGCAATTACGTGCCTCTCATAATCATAAGCCAAATTTATCTGCTTTACTTTTGATTTACATTTTTACAGTGTATTTATTGATTTTCTGTGATCATGATATTTATGGGGGTACCAGGGATAAAAACTTACAGTTGGGTTACGCGGATCATGTTCTGGGATATTTTGTTCAACTTTCCCAACCAGGTCAGCACCAACATCAGCTGCTTTCGTGTATATACCTCCTCCAACTCTGCCAAATAATGCCATTGAAGAACCCCCAAGACCATAACCGGTTATAGATTCATAAAGTCTCTCCCAATCATTCCCCTAGTAGAGTTTAAAAAGATTGACAGAGACATAAAGAACCAAAAGGCCATTGGTAGCTAGAAGGAATCCCATCACCGCACCAGAGCGAAAAGCTGTTATAAATGCTGTCTCGACACCCTTTCTTGCTTCTAAAGTGGTTCTGGCATTAGCATAGGTTGCGATTTTCATTCCAAGAAAACCGGAGAGTACAGAAGTGAGAGCGCCAAGCAAGAAGGCAATTGTGGTAAAGATGGCATTGGCAAGAGCCGGTTTACAAAGGTTTCCTTGATTTTATGTGCATGGTTCACTTTTGGTGCTG